TATTTTCCCAATTTACAGATGGGGGACCAGAGGCACAGAGAGGTTAAGAAACATGTCCAAGGTCAGAGAGTAGCCAGGTGGAGACTGAACCCAGGCCAGTTAGATTCTCCAGTCCATGTGTGCTCTTTTGACTAGGACATATTCAGCTTAATTCATCTTTACAAGGACCCTGTGAAGCAAATGTTGCACTTGTTTTAGAGCTGAGGAAACTGAGGTTTGCAGTGGTGAGACCCCTGAGATTCGAGGTGGGGGCATTAAGAAGTGGTGGGCCTGGCAGTGAAAACCCAGACCCTTTCTGCTCTTGGGACAGGAGGTGGGTGATCATCTCAGGAAGCGCTCAGTGCCCAACCCAAGTGGGAAGAGATGCAGCAGACCCTGTCTGCTGACACGGGAACATGACCAGCAAACTGACCGGTCATCTTGAATCTGTTCCTTTGGCCAGAGGCATCTCTCTGGGCCTAGGACCATGTGGGGAGAAGAAAGGAGCTGGGCCCAGACAACTGGGCCCAGTTTTCTCAGCAACCCAGCGTACTTCAGGCACCATCCTGAAAGTGACCAGGCAGCATTCCTGCCCTGAGTGATTCTGCAACCCCGCCTTGCTGCCAAGTCAGCGCCCAGCACTGGGCTGGGCTGCCCTCCTCGCTTCTCAGGGAATTACTGCAAAGAATGCACTTAAGTGCTGAGGAGGCAAGCCACAGTGGGGCAATCTGAGGCGGGCGGCTCCCTCTAGGAAGGCTTCCGGGAGGAGGACCCAGACTAGGGGAAGGTATTGTAATGGCTACAGGGGTAAGCAACTGGCCATCAGGAACATGGTGGGGAGGAGCTGGGGGGTGGGGTGGGGAGGGAATATCAGTTAGGCACCTATTGAACATCTGGACGTTCTCACCAGAATCTATGGGGAATAGATCTTTTTTTTGTTTTCTCTTTTTAAAGATTTTATTTTTAAGTAATCTCTACACCCCACATGGAACTCCAACTCCCAACCTTCAGATCAAAAGCTGCATGCTCCATTGACTGAGCCAGCCAAGCACTCTGATGGGGGACAGCTCTTTATGATCTCCAAGTTATAGATGGGGAAACCAAGGCTCACAGGAGTGTCATCATCTGCCTGAGATCATGTAGAGGTGCCTTCAAATCCAGGTGTGGCTGACTCTCTTCCCATCACATTGCCATCCCAGGGTTTAGAAGGAGCAGAGACCAGAAACTAGGGTTCTAATCCCCCCTCTCAAAACTTCAAAGTGAGGGCGACCCTCCAGTCACTGAAGCCCAGAGTCAAGGTAGTTAGGAATGGGAAGGTGGGGGTTGAGAGATGCCTTGGCCAGACAGACGGGGGAAGCTGGAGGTAAGGGGCCAGTGGCTACAGTCGGGCCTGTGGGACTTCTGACCCACACCCTGGCAGCGGGCAGCTGTGCCCATGTAGGCCAAGGAGAGAAGCAGGCAAGACCTTGTCCCAAGGACCCTACCAGACTTGCAGAGCAGGCCAGCCCCTTCCCCAGGTCCCAGTAGAGCTGACTGAGCCTCACTCAGTGCCAGCTCCAGCTCCCAGGCTGCTGCTCACCCCAGGGCATGGCTCCGGGCCTGCTGGGTAGGTGGCAGTGCCCTTGGTAAGTGGCCTGCGTCAGGCCGTGGGGCCGGCTGTGTCAGCCAGCCGGCAGCTGTTGTCTCTCCCAGGTGTGACTGCAGCCGGCTTGGCAGGGCACCCCAGACACCACCACACCCAAAGCCTGAAGGGCAGCTTGGAGCCTCCTGAATCAGACTTTCCAGCCATGCAGGGGGCAGTGGCTGCACCCTCCTTTCTTCTGTGCCAAGGGCCTCCCCAGAATCGCTCTCTTCCTGGGCCACTGCCGAGATCTTCAGGGGGACTGTAGGTGCTATCAGCCAGCAGGCTTACAAAACTCGAATCTGGAGCTGCCTGATGCATGCCCTCTGGCTGCAGCTAGAGAGATCAGATTGTCTAATTCAATTTCCTGGGCCCAGAGAGGGCAAAGGACTTATCCAAGGTCACACAGCCAAGAAGTGGCTGAACTTAATTAGAACCAGGCCTCCCAGAGCTATGGGCAGGGGACCCTCCTGTAGGACCTCATTCTCCTGTAGGACCTCTCCTACAGGAGAATGGGTCCCTCTAGCTCAGGTCCAAGCAACAATAGCATCTCTAGCTGCTCAGATTGCTGCTGCAGGCAAAGTCTTATGGGGGTACAGAGGAAGAAAGGTTCTAATTCTTGAATCATGGACAACCAGCATCCTCCACTACACGCACCTCCCTCTACCCACCCCCCCCAGGCACCCCCCACCTCTGCACATAGCCAGCATGGATGCCCCTCATCCCCATGCACACCAAGCACCGCTATCCATGCCCCATACACACCCAGCACCCCCACCACAGTTTGTGAAGCTGCCAGCAGCAGATCCCCACCAGGAGATGGACTTTCGTCCCTGGGGATGCAATTGTACAGGCCAAGTGAAGGTACCTGTTCCCTTTGGATTCTGGAACCTGAAAGGGTGTGGGAGAGTAGTCCAACCCATCAGCATGGAAAAGATGGGGACACTGGGCCCAGCAAAGGGAACAGACAATAGTCCAGGCCCTGAAGCCGGATGTCTGACCTCCCAGGCTAGCTCTGAAGTCTCCACTCCCTCTCCCCACCACAGCCAGCTGCTCCCTGCTCTGTGATATCTTTGACCCAAATCCAGGAGAACACTGTACTATTATGGCCTTGTAAAGTCAGCTCCTAATGGCCTGCAGTCTCCACCACCTGGCAGGGAGCACCTCGAGGGCAGAGACGCTGGGTCCCAGTCACATCTATAGCTCTGGTATCCCAAATAGGACTTGACAAAGAGCAGACACCAGTAAAGGCAGTTGGGCAGGGACTTCCCCTCCAGAGCACCCTTTGTCCCTGATGAGGGGTTTCCACACTGGGCTCCTCCTTCCCCTATGTCTGGGACAACAGTCCTGGAGATACAGCAATTGGGGCTGCAAGGCTGACCTGAGTGTCCTGGGGAGGAAAGCCTCAACTGGTTTCCTAATTACCCCATGACAGCGGGCAGCCGAGGAATGCCTCAGTGAGCATCACTGGGGCTTCGGGTGAGTCAGCCCTGGGGAATCTGCCCCCACCCCCTCCCATTCCCTTGGAGGGAGGGCGAGGTAATCCCTTAGCAGACACCCCTCCTCCTCAGTGGAGACTGAGACAGAAGGAGGCAGGGGAGTGGCCTGCTTCATTAGCTTCTGCGGATAACTCCCCGAGAAAGAAAGTCCATCTACTGGTAGGAATACACAGGAATTGTGGCTGGATTTTCTGGTTTTTATCAGAAGACTTCCCTAAGACTTAGAAGTTGAGTCTAACAGCTGGGGAAGAGGCAGGAAACCTTGAGCCTACAGCAGGTGGCTCCCAGGAAGACTCATGATGCTCCCGGTTTGATTTTCACCTCTTTAGGTAATCTTAGGTAGCTCACGGCCCCTTTTAGAGCCTCAGCTTCCCCAGCCACAAAATGGGTACAATAATTACTATATTCTGGCATTTCAGAGTATGCCAGCACCTAGGTTATACAGAAGAAAGAGCAATTTGAGAGGTGCTGAAAGTTAGGTAAAGGGAAAAGGGAGTCTGAGGAAGGGGAGAGGGCTACCAGAATTCTCTTTTCCTGCTCCTCAGGAGACACCAGGGCCAGCCTTCATTTCCAATTTTGGGGAAAGGGAGAAACACCTAAACTGGACACCTAATGTCGCCCTCCAGCATGCAGGCACCAGGTCTGGCTTGGTGCTTAGTTAATCTCCTCCTGCCACAACCCAGCTGAGAGGGACCGAGTCCTTATTGGGATTTCTTGGCTTTTCCACTTAGCCACGGGTCTCTTGAGCCAAGGGCTGTGGAAGCACAGGACAAAGTCTGCCCCTAGAACCTTGAGAGAGGGAAGGGGTGTGTGTTGGGGGGGGGCGCTAGGCCCAACGATGAAGATTTGGGGATGAAAAAAACCCTATTTTGAACCCAAACAGGCACACCTACCCACCCAGGACTGCCTGGTATCTTTAGTCTGAGCAGGCAGGGCTGTTCTCTCTCCGGCCTCCCCACCCCGCGCACCACCGCAGCCAAGTCCCTCCCCATTCTCCTCCCATTTCCTAGCTAGGGCCAGGGTGAATGGTTCGAGAGGAATCGGGCTCTCCAGAGGCAGAAGGGAAAGCCAAGTGGGGAGGGAGCATGGTCTACTATCCATGCTCGTGCGATTTAGTTCCAGTCCCTGTCCCTCTCTAAGCCTCATTTTCCCTACCAGTCCAGAGAATCGAACAGACTCTGGGTTCCTCCGAGCACAAGAACCTCAGGCAGGCTGGAGACCCCATAACCCCCTCTCCCCTCCCAGGGCCCGCTCACCTGCACAATCTGCCGGGGCTGCACGCTCAGAGTGGGGAAGTTGCCGCGCCCGTGAATGGGAATCGGTTCGCTCAGGAGCGCGTCCAGTCGCTTCACCTGTGGCCAGCCTAGCCCACTCAGGTGCCGTCCGAGGGAGGCCGATGAGGCCTCCGGGTCGGGGCCGCCGCCTCCCGGGGCGGCCGTGGCCACCGCCGAGGCCGCGGCCGTTCCCACCTGCGCAGCTGCCTGGTCCGGGCTCTCAGCTCCACTCTCCGACAGCATCATCAGCCCGGCCCCGGGGCCCCGACGGCAGAAACCGGGGGGTTGGCTAAGGGGAGAAGGGCAGGGAGAGCGGCTGGGCCGGGGCCAAGGCGAGAGGCGCGGCTGCAGGGACCGGGTGGCAGCGACGGCGAGGCAAACTCAGGGCACACCTCCGACGGCGACGACCAACCGACCCTAGAGCCTGTAGCCCAGGGCCCAGCGGACTCTTATAGGCCGCGGGCGACATGCCCATTGGTCCAGACAGCTGTCACACAGTGGGAGCGCCCCGCCTCTCGACCCCCCTGCCATTGGTCAGCAGAGCTTTGCACGTGAGTCACTTGTCGCCAGGGAGATTCCGATTGGCTGGCTGACACGCCCCTGCCCCGCCCCCCTGCGTCCCCTGAATTCCCTCCTTTGGTCCTTAAAGAACTTCTGTTCTCAGTGATTGGCCCGGGCGGAGGCAGGCCTAGACTTAAAGGGACTGCGCCCTCCAGGGGCACGCGGGAGGGAAGTGACCTGTGGAGTTTGTAGCGGAGTTGGACCACTAAGAAGTTCCAGGGTTCCTTTTGGCGCTGGAAGAAATTTGGAAGTCGCCTGGCCTGGTCCTGGTCATCCGTTATTTTCAGAAGAGACTGCGCCGCTGGTTCAAACTCCACACAGCGCTCCTCCTGCTCTTCCAGAATCAAGGAAAGGTAACAAACTCTGTGTATACCGAGGTAGATACTATTTAACGCCCTCTTGATTGGCCCTTGTCAACCACAGCCTCGCCAGCGTTAACGTTCCTCTTGAGGGGAGGGGACACTGTTCAGAGAGGGGGCGTGACTCCCTCAAGGTTACACAGCAAATGAGTTGGGGCCCCGGTGCTGAACCCGGGCCATAGACTCTGTGGCGCATGCTCTTTCCATTACATTTGTGCAGACCCAGGGCCTTTACGGGGCTGGAGGATGGAGGGCAGCTGGAAATGGGGAGTTGGTTTTCCTCACCCAGCGGCTTGGGCCCCTCTGCAGCCCCTTCTGGTAGGGGCTTCCTAAACAGCTGGTGGAAGTCTTTCCGGCCAGCTTCTCAGCTTTATCAGGTCCTGTGTGCCCCCAGGCAAGTCACTAGCCGCTCTGAGCCAGTTTCCTTTTCGGTCCCAGAGAAGATGTTCAATAATATTTTTTAAATTTTGATTGGATTACTTATAGTTGGCAAAAACATTTTCATATATTCTGTTGAAATAATATGTTTACATGTTTTTCTTTCCCACTTTACAGAGCCTAGAGGGATGAGGCTTATTATTACTTTTGAATTCACTTTTTCTTCTGATTTTTTAAAAAAGATTTTATTTATTTATTTGACAGAGAGAGACACAGCGAGAGAGAGAACACAAGCAGGGGGAGTGGGAGAGGGAGAAGCAGGCTTCCCGCTGAGCAGGGAGTCCGATGCGGGGCTCCATCCCAGGACCCTGAGGTCATGACCTGAGCCAAAGGCAGACGCTTAATGACTGAGCCACCCAGGCGCCCCTCTTCTGATTTTAAATATGTGTACCTGTGGCAGGATTTCAGAAATTGAGTCTGCTTGGTCAATATTTTCTCTTAGATTAAATATCATTCTTCTAATAGTGTCCCGTTCTATAAGGCAGGCCTGGCAAGGAGTAATAATCCCAATGTACAGAAGAGGAAACCAAGATCTACAGATGATAAACTACATTCCAGGGTCACCAGCTTGTCTCCGACAGACCTGGACCTAGAACCCAGGAGCCTGACTCTCAGACTAGAGCAATCACTCCCTCTTTCTGAAGGCCAGCGCAAGCTGGCCTTTTGTCTGGGATCAGGGGCTTCCTCTGGCCCCCAGGAAGGGGACCTGCAGCTAGCTCCCCTGCTTGGCTGTGTGACTATGGGCAAGTCCCTTGTGCTGTCCTCAGTGAAGTTGCTTGCTGTTTTGCTTTACCTTCTTTTGAAAGAGAAGCAATAGATGGGAAACCTCCTTTGCTGAACCCAGAGTCTCCAAACCCTCTGGGTTCAGCAAAGGAAGTTTGGCCCCAGCAGAGGAAGGAAAAGAAAGAAAACTAACATTTACTGAGGACCTACTATGTACCAGGTCACTTTACACACAGGACCTCTAATTTCTAAAAATACAGCTCAAGATGTGGGATCATTATCCTCAATTTGCAGATGAAGAAACCAGGGCTTGGAGAGGTCAAGTGACATGGTAATACAACCACTAATTGGCAGGGTGGGACTTGAATCCAGGTCTCCTGACTCCAGAGCCCTATTTTCCAACTGCTCCTCGTGGAAGAGTTGGCACAGATCACAGTATCATGCTTGGCACAGCCCTGGGACCACCCTCAAGATCATTCATTCATTCATTCATCAACCAACTAAGCACCTACTGTGTACCAGGTGCTGGGCTAGGCCCTGAGGTGGTGATAGGCAAGGTCCTGCCCTAGAGCTGACATTCTAGTATAGAAAGACAGTAGTTAAGTAAACAAAGAAATAAGACATTTCAGATAGTGCTAAGAAGAAAATAAAGCAGGGAATGGGAGAGAGAGCAACCATGTGTATATGTGAGTGAGTGAGAGAGAAAACTGGAGAGACTGATGTCCATTGTTGGTGTGATCACAGAGCCTGCCCAACGAGGTGACATTTCTGCTGCACCTGCTGGATCCACTTCTGCCCTAACTCCCTGTGCTTGTCCCCGGAGAACCAGAGCAGCAGAGAAGGTGCCAGCCACACATCCCTACAGCCCTAAAGGCCTGGGCTGGAGGGAGAGGGGGGCTTTGACAATCATTTTGTTCACTCTCTTCTCACTTTGTATAGGGGGAAACTGGAAGTTTGGAAGTCTGGAAGCCAGACTTTCTGGGAGTCTGGGAGACTGGCTAGGGCTGGAACTACACAGGGGTAGGGCCCCCTGGGCATGGCCTGGTGCTATGCCCGCCCCACACTCTTGAATCAGGTTCTCTGAGAAAGGACACTTAGAGATCTCTTTTCCTCTCACCTTCCTGCTGTCTGGGCTAGGGAGAGCAATTAGCAAATTCATGCTCCGTGAATCACCCTTCTGTTGACACTTCTATTCCAAAGCTAATCGGCCCAAAGTTTGACCAATCACAGGACCTGAACATCACTACCCTAGGAGTGGGGGATCCGGGAATGTAGGGAGGGGAGAGGGAAGACAAGAGAGCAGGGGTAGACTCAGGACGGTTTTTACCTTCACCAAGACCAACTTCTAATTGTCCCAGTGAATGGAGGGGAACAATGGCCAGGGTACCTTCTGAAGAGTCTATCTGGCATTCAAATGTTATATATGAGCCTTTTCCCTCCCATGCATATTTCCCATCTTAATCCTGACTCTGATTTTAAAGGGGAACGTACTCTTTATGGTAACCGAGTTGTAGTGACTTGGGTAAGTCACTTTCCCTTTCTGGGCCTCAGTTTCCTATTCTGTAAAATGGCAGTGAAATAGGAGTCAGGGTTTTTCCATTCACCTGTGATTTGAAGTGATGGGAAGGAGAAGGGGTCCTGCGAAGAGTGTTGGTGTCCACATTGGCCCCTCTTCTGCTCTGGGACTCCAGACAAGAGCATTCTGGGATCAGGGGCACCTGGGTGGCTCAGTCGGTTAAGCATCTGCCTTAGGCTTAGGTCGTGATCCCAGAGTCCCAGGTTCGAGCCCCACATCAGGTTCCCTGCTCAGCAGGGAGTCTGCTTCTCCCTCTCCCTCTGACCTTCCCCCATCTCGTGCTCTCTCTCTCTCAAATAAGTAAAAAATCTTAAAAAAAAAAAAAAAGCATTCTGGGATCAGGGGCACCTGGGTGGCTCAGTCGGTTAAGCATCTGCCTTAGGCTCAGGTCGTGATCCCAGAGTCCCAGGTTCGAGCCCCACATCAGGTTCCCTGCTCAGCAGGGAGTCTGCTTCTCCCTCTCCCTCTGACCTTCCCCCATCTCGTGCTCTCTCTCTCTCAAATAAGTAAAAAATCTTAAAAAAAAAAAAAAGCATTCTGGGATCAGCCCACATTACTGAACACCCAGTGTCTGGAACCTGAGCAGAGAGCCTGACATGGGGCTCCATCCCAGGACCCTGAGATCATGACCTGAGCCAAAGGCAGGCGCTTAACCAATTGAGTCACCTGGGCACCCCGCTTTTTTTTTTTTAAGACTTTATTTATTTATTTATTTATTTATTTATAGAGCATGAGCAGGGGGAGGGTCAGAGGGAGAGGGAGAGAGAGAATCTCAAGCAGACTGCGTTGAGCCGTTGAGCACAGAGCCCAGAAGGGGTTCAATCTCACGACCCTGAGATCATGCTTTGAACTGAAATCAAGAGTCAGACCTTAACTGACTGAGCCACCCAGGTGCCCACAGAACACAGTCTTGACAAAGGAGTGATTTCTCCCTTTGCATGAGAGGAAACTAAGGCTCAGAGAAACAAACTAATTTATGCAGGGCCTCACAGTTGGAAGGACAAGCTTCACACCCAGGTCTTGCTGAACCCCAGGCCCATGCCCCACCCAGGGCCCTGTCTCTGAGGATGACTTGGTTTGTTCGATTGCACAGAGATGGTTCTCTCCTCTGGTTCTCCAAATCAAGATGGTTCTCCCCCATCCCCTCTTCTATGGTTCTTGTTCTCCACCCTGCCTCAGCCCCTCATGGCCAAGGCACTCTCCTGGACCTTGTCAGTACCCTGCGTAATTTCAATAGCAAGTATCCCATCCTCCTAACACCACCTCCTGTCTTTCCTGCTCACTACCTCTAGAACCTCAACTGCAATGGGTCCTGACTCCCCAGGTCCTTCAATCCATGGATCCTCCCACCTTTTCCCCACTGTTTCTAGCCTCCTTAACCAGCTTTGATTCCATGGACCATCATTGTAATTACTGCCTTGCACACACCCTCAACCCCTTGCTCCTCTCACCTGGCAAAACCACACCCTGGTTAATCCAGCTGTGCGTTTGTAACCCACAGTTGATTGGCGCTGGAGAAGGACACAGCCCCGCTGACAGGTCTCACTTGAACATCACGTCAGGGCCTCCATCCTCTCCAGGGAGCCCTTAGAACCCTCTGGAGATCCTACTGTATGACCTGCTGCTTTCACTCCGCTGTGGTCCTGGACACAGTTCCATACCTCTCCCCTGCACCTCAACCCTGGACACCTCCTTCCCTGCCCCCTCTCCATGGAGGACCTTTCTTCCTGCATCACTGAGAAAATAGAAGCAATCAAAGGAGAATTTCCATAGACTCTCAATACCTACCCAATCACTGGGTCTGTGCCTCATTTTTAGCCTCCCTTCTGCTGCCTTGGGGGTGAACCCTGCTTGCTCCTCTCTGCGGCTACCCCTGCACTTACACACCAGACCGCCTGCCTCTCACCTGCTCAAGGATTTCACCCTGGCGATCTCCCCTTCTCTACTGGATCACTCCAATTAACATAATTGGAAGTAATAATTGGTATTGTGAAAACATAATTTCTTGCATCTTAAAAAACCCAACAAAGCCCAGCGAAACAAAACAAAAATCTCCCTCCCATTTCTCTATATAGCAAACTCTTTGAAAATGTCTGTGCTTGCTGTCTTCAGTTATTCTGTTCGTTCTTGAATACACTTCGGTTAAGCTTTGTCCCCATCACTGCACCAAAACTGCTTTGTCAAGGTCACCTGTGACCTTCACATTGCTAATTCCAATCATCAATGTCTTTTAATAACAGCTTTACTGAGATATAAT